ACACGCCCCGTAGATCTGACGAAACCCAGTGCTCTCGCATTCGTCCACTAACCGACGACTGACGTTCCCGTGACCTAGACGCATTGAACTAATTAGTGTTAGCGGGAAAAAATTAACAGCATTCTCACGAGTGTGGAACAAATTCCGTTTATAAAAATGCACGCTTATTATAATAATTATGTTAATGATTGTTTTAAGCGATAGAGATAAACAAACACAAATCGCCAAGCGGATGTACTCCAATATATACAGTGTGCTTCATCGAGACGTACGAATATATATAAGATTGCTTTCGAAAAATTGTCACTGGGCGGGCTAAGTTGGTGGCGCGTAGCGCGAAGCAGCTTTTTATTTTTTTTATTTATTTATTTTTTTTTTTATCGTGCCCCTGCGGACCACTACGGAACTTTCGCAAAATCGATGTAATTTAAATATGCCTGCACCCTTTATAAAATGTCCTTCACATCTCGTCGAACTTCAAAGTTACAGCAAACATCGGTAAATATTAAAATTTGCACAAATAATAGCGTTGTCGAATGATATTTTTGCAAATATCTCGCGCCCTGTATCATTGACGAAACTTGAACCTCTCTCTACATAGTTAACGATACTGTTGAAATAAAATTATCCCATCTTTAACGGTGTTTCATTTATCGCCAATAATTTACCCACAAAAACGGACATTTTTAGAATCTTTTAGATTTTTTGCCCATAAGCGACGCACCCTGCATATGACTCAAACAATGTTCGAAGTAGAGGTTATAGCCCTGGATCTTCCACGTTTCCTGGACCAAGAATTTTTTAAAAATAGTAAATGGTTTTCGAGAAAATAAGTTTTTTCTGAAACCATGCAGGGCGAAATAATGTTCAAGAATTCAAGAATTTACCAAAAAAATAGCAAAGTTGCTTTCATTCTACAAGGTTATTTAATATTAATATTATTTAATTTTTGAATTTCCAACAAAAATTCCATGGTTTCCTAAATTCATTTCATAGATATCTTCATCAATTCAAAAATTTCGATGCCATACTATTTTGATTTTTAAGCATTTTTCACTGTATGTTACACGGCAACTCAAAAATTAACCTATCGAAATTGATTTATTAGAAACAGGGTGTTCAAAATTTACCAATGGGCACTAAATATGCGTACATCATTTTCAAACAGAAACTTTTTTTTTCAAACAACCTGTGTACTATGGTGTGGTATAGTATCAAAAGTCATTGATGAGCATTAATTTCGACCAAGTCTGGCATTGATTTGTTTACGCCAAAAGAATTAAGGAACTATGGTATTGGTCCTACCAGTGACCCGATTTGTAGCCCTTGGATTTTGCGCTCCGTGGCTGTATTAAAGAACCAGTGACCCCTATGCCTGTACAAACCACGTGGCGGCAGATATAAACTTAGTCAAATAGAAGATTTTTTTTCTTGAAATTTCTGTGAAAATCTGCTTATTGTAACGAAAACGACATTAAAACTGCAGACATCAGCTTAGAACCGTAATTTCTGTGTCATGCAATCGCCTTGTCTTCGATTAAATTCTAGTCAAACTCCACTTTTTTGATACTTATTGTACCGATAAGTAATCACTTTCTTTCCTGCAGTTATTATAAGAAACTCATCAGTAAACCAAGAAGTTAAACATCATTTTCAGTAACATTTTGGTCAAAATCGTTTTTTCCATAATATATTTACAGACTTGATGTAGAAAATGAAGATTTTTAGTGTAACCTGATCAAAATCGACAAGGAAAGGTAACTATTCGACAAGTGAGGTCCTAAGCTGATACTTGCTGGTTTTATGTAGATTTCGGTATAGTAAGTGGCCGAAAAGGCGTTTTTATTTCTTAAAACAAAAGCATTTTTTAATATCTGCCAAACATGCAGCGACCTCCATTCAGCTGCTCCAATGGGTGGTTAGTTCGAGGGTATCCATTAAATAAAACCAAAAATATGCCTAATTTGCCAATTTTGATTTACGGCTAACAATTAACTCAAGAAAATAACAACTTAGGCGTATTTACAGTTCGGATAAATAGTTTTCTAAAAATAATTTGACTTCGACCGTATGCAACATAGTAGGCCTAATTTTTCTTTTGAAACCCTTTTTAACATCACCGTTTTCTCCATTTACGGCAGTCATCTATAAGGAATGCTGGAATTATATCTGGACCCATTGTAGACTTAGGTTTAATTACTTTAAGAGCTTTTTCGACCTGATATCCAGAGAACATGTTTATGTCTATATTTTCAGAGTGGTGTGAATTTCTAATACCATTAAAGTTGAGTATATGCTGCCGAGTATGTAATTCAGTGCCATTAAAGTTAATATTACTGGGTACACCTGATATTCTTTTTTTGTTTTTATCTTATATTGGACACCCTGTATATGCATTCATCTTCAGAAAATATTTTTTTTTGCAAGTGTGAAAACTAGTATTTTCATAGAAAAATTAAAATATTGGTAAAACTATTAGGTCCAAATGAGTATCATTATTAATAAAAATGTTGAATAATTTCGAAACGAATTCAAAATAAAAGTTGTTCCATTTAAAAATATTGATTTATTCGTCAAACCTTTTTGGGTCACCCCGTATCCTACAACTTTTGTATATACAATTTTCTCATAACTTATGAAACAGATGAGATAATGAACTTTTTCTACGGCCGTCTGGAAAATACCTAATTACACATCGATCTAGCGTGCAGGAAGCGTCACTTTAACGCGGCAGTTTCGTTTCCCACGGATCTGAGCCACTTCGGACATTTCCGGGATTTTACCGGATATTTTAAGAGATATTACGTCACGGCTTGAATTTTGACGTTTGTCAATTCTGACGGTCATATCAGTATGTTATGCAATATATCAGACAAATTAAATGCTAAATGCTGCAATTAAAATCTAGCAGACTAGTCGGTAAGTAAAGTGACGTTTTAATGGAAGTTTCCCACAGAATTTTGACATTCCGTTCGCATGAACTTTAGTGATTTTTACAGTTTTTAAATTAATACCTTGCCAAGACCAATTGTACCATTTTCAAATATTCATGTCTCATCACAACAAACAAAACAAAATTGAAGGTTTTTCTTTGCTTTTTCCTGCTTATACGGTCTTAAAAATTGAATCCCCTTAAATTACAGTCTTTTTCTTTAAATAAACTACTCAATGATCAATTGTAAAAGTTAAATAAACAACATAACGTTTTAAAATTGTTTATATGACATATCCAATAATACATCTCCTTCTGTCTAAACAGTTGAAAAGAGACAACAATAGCAGAACCGATCGGAAGAATAAACGAATAGGTTTAACCCATATTATCCCAAGCATAAAAAAATACTTTTTTGCTATTAAATTATTTATTTTGTTGCACTTTAAAATACATGAGATATGTCAAAAAGATATATAAAGCCTCGAAACATACAAAAAAATACTGGTACGTAAACGAACCACTGGGAAAAAACATTAAATAATGTTTTGGGGCACATAAGATGTAACATATAATTTATACATAAATAAACAAAAGAAAGTTCAAATTCGACAGAACAAAACTAAAAGTAGATTTTTTTCCAAATAGAACCTGATTTGATTCAAAAAAACGTCTAATGGTGCTTTAGCGCGCCACTGGTAACACCCGGTTTCATTTTTGGTGATATTTTACAAAGCATGAACTATGTAAATGTACATTAAACTCATTACAAACGTAAATTGTGTGGCTGTGGCAGATTCTACATCTCCTTCGGACTTTATTAGCATGAACAATCATGAGGTGACCTTGATTATCATAAAGCACTTCATCTATGGCGGGTGCAAAATTTCTTTGAGTAATTGTTTTATCAGTTTTTAAAAGTCGCAAAGCAATGTAAGATTTAAAATCAAATCAATCACTTCGTCATCAAATAATATAAAAAATATTTCAAGCGGAGTTTTTCCAGAAAGCCTATTTCTTAGTTCCTCACATGATCTAAATTGATCGGATATGGTTGTGTGAGTGTACTCAATCTGACCTTTCTTCCATTTAACAGTAGAAGCAAGCCTGTCGTTTACAAAAAGCCTACGTCTTCTTTTGAATTTCAGAGTTTTATCATCTCATGAGTCTCATTCAGGTTCAGTGGTTGATGAATTATAGGACTGTTGAAGGACAACTGTATCATTCGATGTATGTAACTCGAAAGTTCCAACTGTATCAGTTGGTTCCCCAAACTCTTGTAGATTTATGTTATCGTTCATATCTTCTTCGTCAGTCATTAGACCGCGTCAATATATTCTGCAAATATTTTTTCACGTTTTTTTTATCATAAATTTACAAGGAATGGATGGCTGCAAATACATAAGAATACGTAAATCCAAATAATCTCCTCCATAGCCGCCTCTAATTCCTTGTGAGTCAAATATCTCGGGAATGCCATATTTTACGAACTGTAACGTTCACTGCACAAGGCACAACGTAATACTAAAGAACACGCTAATTGTTGGAGTTTTCTTTTACAGATAAAACCATTGGTGCATTCACGCACCAATACATATTTTCAAAAAATAAAGCATAATCAATATAGTATTTCCAATGTATGTTTTCTGCGATGTAATCTACTTAACAAAAATGATAATACAAATCCAAAATATTTTTTTTACTATTTTCTATTTACTTGAAAATATCATACAAATTTATGTATCGCTTTTGTTAACTTTTGAAGTCATATACACATAAATTAGCGATTTCTACGGTCTTATGTCTTTTAGTAGTAATAACAATAAAATGTCTAAATGGATGTGCAAAAATATTTCCTGGATGTGACAAAAAAAATCATGGAATAGGTGGTGCATTAACGCACCAGTGGGACAAAATGGGTTAATGGCAACTAGTAAATATTTTGTTTGAATGGTACGAAATTTAGTAATCCGAGAACCTGTTATGATTTTTAATTTGTTAAATTGTGATTTTTTCGTGCCGTTTACCGCACTTGGTTCCTTACTGATATGTTAAAATCGTTACTCACAATCATCGGCAAGTGGTAGAAGAGGTAGCACACGATCAGCACCGGATGCATCGTCTCCAACCCCGTCCTCCTTTTGTCGACCTCATCGTCTTCTTCCGAGTTTTGCTTGACTATACACGGTCTCCTCGAGTTGGTAGAGCTCACCGTTGTCGAGTTATTCGACAGCACTTCGCTGTTGTTCAGCTGGTTCGTGGCCCACGAATCTTTGTGGCAGTAATTGTTGTTGTCCACTCGGTGAATCGTGTACGTGTCGTAATAGTTTCTGTTTTCCGACACGTTGGTGTTGATGCCGTGATAATTGTTGCTCAACTCGCTAAGATCCGAGTTGCTCTTCTTTATATAGTCGAAGCCGTCCTTCTTGAGCGTGCAGTAATTGTAGCAAACGATCGCCAAGGACGCGAGCGATATCACAGCCAGGAAAACGTGCAAAACTATGATGAAGATGTTGAATTTAATGTTCAGCTCGAACGGTAAAAAGTTGCACGGGCTTATGTTGAACGTCTCGGCGAAAACGTTGCCCAATCCGCCGTCTTTCTGTGCCAAAATGGCGGCCACTCCGACGCAAGCGCACAAAGTCGTCAAGCAAAACAAATGGTAGATTATGTGCGAGGACGTTAAGAAATTCCTCAGGTTTTGGTTTTTGCGATGAAGGTTGGCGGAAAACAGACCAATTACCGCGATGGACGTCAAGCTCGACGCTTGGAACGTGTGGATCGAGTTGAAGATCCACGTGACGGCGCTGCAGTACTCCGTGTCGAAGTCTTCGTTGTTGAAAATTATGGCCAGAGTGTAGCCGAGTATGGTCAGATTCCTTAAGACGCTCAGCACCAAGATTGACACGATGGGTATGTCGTAGGGTCCCCAACGTCGACGGTTCTTGTGGAAGATTGCAATGGTCCAGCACAGCAGTATGATGATGACCGGCAGAGCTACCAGCGATGCCAGCTGCTCGGTCGTGTACCTCAGCATAGTTTCGACGGGATTGAATCTGAAATAAAAGTGCTCATGTTAATTTTAAAAAGTTTAATATCAAACTAGTGTGGCAGCATATTCTATATCCAATATAAGGCTTAGTTTATAAATAAATATAAACAGATTTAAGATCGCTCAATTGTTTTGGGAAATTGACACCTGTCAAAATGTAACATTATTCAGAAACTTTTGTGTGACATCTGTCAAAATGTGACATTATTCGGACCATTTGGATGTATATAATGTGTGCAATGTATCTCAATCAGCATGGTTTCGGTAGGGTTGATTCTGAGATAAAAGTACTTATAGTGAGTTCGGAAAAGTTCTGTCTGGAGGTATGTGGAAGTTTCTAATAAAATACTCAAGATTCCTCTGCCTCCTGGCTTCTAACCTGGCGAACTCCAAACAGGGATTTGCGCGTTGCTCTCTAGCTTCTGCGAATGTCCGGAAATTAATGGGCCAAACTATGGCAGCATAAATATACAATGTGTCGCGGATTCGCTTCTCTATACAACATTCTTCGCTCCTACTACCTGGTTAGGGAAATATCGGCAAAAAGCCGAAAATACAAGATTTCGTTTTACGCTAGTAAATCCAAAACGCTTTGACAGCTGTCAAAATTTGACATTATTCAGACACGTTCGTGTGACAGCTGTCAAAATGTGACATTGTTCAGTCACTTTCGTGTGACAGCTTTCAAAACGTGACATTATTCATACATTTTTGGTGTATATAATATATAAATATATAAACCTTAACTTTCAGTGTTATCCAAGAAGGGCTCTGACTTTGACGCTAAATAATTCCAAGTATCATAGTTGAATTTTACTAGTACGTTTTCTTTTATTAAAATCAAAGCGAGCAATTTGACGAAACAATTATTTCATTAGATGATCCGACCTACTAGATTCCCTGACCTTTCGACTTTTCAATTCTTCCTCTAGGTTCACAGAAAACATGAGGTCTAGAAATTTTTTGATACTCCCGAGATTATGGAGACTGGTTTTGGACACATTTAGAAACATTAACGGCTTACCAGGATTGTACGAAAAACAGTCACCAATTGCCAAAAATGTCTAGACGCAAACCTGTATAATTGTGCAATTAGATTTGACTTTACATTACTTGTTAATCAAATTATCGAAGACTTTTCTGACTTTTCTTTTTAGAAAACACACAATTGATAATTTGCACACAACATCTAACTTTTTTTTTTCAAAGAAACTTCCACAGGCTACTGTAATAATTTTTACAAAACTTCTGGATTCCTCCTGCGTCGGTTTTTGCTGAGTCGAACTGGCTGACGTTTCGCCAATCATCATGTTGGCTTCTTCAGAGCTTGACTGCAACTGGCTGGTATTTTACTCTGTACCTGCTTATATATTGTTTGGGGGCCGGAGCTAAGCTAAAAAAGTATACCTGAATAAAATTTTATGTCCGGTTTCGTGATTGTGTTCGGCAACAGCTGATAAGTTTATTTGTCTTAGTCGTAAGGCTGTTTCGTGTTCTTTGCCACATATGCATGGACCGAAGATGTTGAGAGATTTATTATATTTTATTATACTTATACTTCTTTAGAGCTTTTGATATGTGATCAGTGATGTTTTGAATGTAAGGAAGGACCACAGTGGCAAGTGTAGGCTTGCTTTCGGCCTCATTGCTATTGGAAGGTTGTGGTGAAGTGGATTTTTTGATGGAACGTCAGCAAGTTCGACTCAGCAAAAACCGACGCAGGAGGAATCCAGAAGTTTTGTGAAAAGTATAACATCTAACTGATTGATGTTATCGTTAAATAAATCAATAAAATAATTAAGGCGTAACTTTAAGAAGTGCGATAAATCATTTGTGCACTCGTGAGACATCACAAGACGATGGTAAATGGTAAATCTAAACACACAGTTTCCTCTAAAATGTTTCGCATTTAATCCTTGCTCTAGGTACAATAGGGGGGGGGGGAAATCTCCGTATAGAGAAGTAAATGGGTTTTCTTAATATTTCCAAAACAGGTTAAGAGAAAGTATTGAAATTTGAGAGATTTAGTAATTTTCAGACGCGTAACTTTTGATGGGTACAGTACATTTGTCTTATAAAATCGGAAAAGTTGTGTATAAGTGTTTGATATCGCCAAAGTGGACCGTTTTCAAAGAAAATGGACTTTAAAAATACACCGTTTATTTATCAAAAATAGAAAAGTAGGCCTTGGGTTTGTTATTTGTTTATTTTCATTTAATGGCAGGCTGTTTTTGTGAAAAATAAAAAAACAATAAACAGTAAGTTTAATTCATTATTCCGTATTGAGTTTCCAACCATGAAAAGCCAATCAATCAATTGTTTCTAATTGTTCCTAATATTACCGCCCAGAATCGCCACCTAGAACTAGGCACTCGTTTGAAAAGTTTTCATTTAACTAACCAGTTTCTTACACCTTGGCCTTGGCTAGATCATTTGTAAGGAAATCTAAGCAATCATTAGCAATAATTTGACACAATAAAAGGACCTATTAATGTACAAACTTGTTCAAAGTTGGTACTTCCAACAAAAAACTGAAATGAAATGAAAATGTTGTCTCGTTAAACCACAAAATTGGCTACATGAGAATTTTATTCAATTATTCTGGAGCAATGAGAATCCATCAATGTTTAAACAGATATCATAAGTACTTTTATTTTGCCAAATAGATGAAATGCTAATTCTTGCTTGCAAGTGCATAGGTCGTAATCCTATTTATGCCACATAAGTGGAGCAGGAGAGTCCGATAAGGTGAATTAATGTGGCGGAAAATCAAATTAGGAACAGTCCGGAAAACTTTTCAATTTTTGATGAATAAATAATAAAATAAAAACGCAAAATAAGGAGAAAATTATTAAAACGAAAAAGATAGAGGAAATTATTAAAAACGCAAAAGACAGAGGAAATTATTAAAAACGCAAAGGACAGAGGAAATTATTAAAAACGCAAAAGACAGAGGAAATTATTAAAAATGCAAAAGACAGAGCAAATTATTAAAAACGCAAAAGGCAGAGGAAACTATTAAAAACGGAAAAGGCAGAGGAAATTATTGAAAACGCAAAACACAGAGAAAATTATTAAAAACGCAAAAGACAAAGTTAAAATAAAAAAGTTTCCTTATCAGGTGTAGATTATAATTCTATATTATATATATATATATATATATATATATATATATATATATATATATATATATATATATATATATATATATATATATATATATATATATATATATATATATATATATATATATATATATATATATATATATATATATATATATATATATATATATATATATATATATATATATATATATATATATATATATATATATATATATATATATATATATATATATATATATATATATATATATATATATATATATATATATATATATATATATATATATATATATATATATATATATATATATATATATATATATATATATATATATATAATGTAATATAAAAATATTCTTTAAAATTTCTAGTATACACCCACAATAAAAAATAGGAAAATTATCACGAATGCGTCTTAGTTTTCCGTATAATACGACCTAGGTCCAACAATGGTTCGGTAGAAGATGCCTTATTTTCCTCTGCCTAAAACGTCAAAGATTCAAGAGTGAAAACATGACCGCGGAAATATTGGACTGGTTTGAAAATAAACTTCTGGAATTATTGAAAATGAAACATGTTAATAAAGACTATAAAATAGATTCGATCGAACAACAAAACCGACATAAAATCTTGAGATTACCTCCGTATCATTGTATATTTAACCCGATTGAGATGATTTGGTCTAAGTTGAAAGCGCATATAAGAAGAAATAACACTGCACCAAAATTTAATGATAGTACCAGAAATGTAATTCGGCAAGAGGTAACTAAAATATCAGTAAAAAGCTGGTCTAACCATGAAAACCGAGTAATAAAACGATTAGTGATGGACTTGACCATTGAACTAGGTGACGACAGTAGCGATAGTGACGACTTTTTAAGTAACTGATACTTTATAATCATTATAATTAATATTTTGTATATTAATATACGATGTAGAAATGTAATGAAAGAGAACGTAATAAATTGCTAAAACGCTAAAATTTCAAAATTTTCTCTTAACTTGTTGCGGAAAGATTTATAAAAAAAACATATTCAGGTCAATTTTTTTTAAGGCGTGTGCCTCCGCTAGAAGGCGTTTCTCAACATATGTTTACATAGCAAATTAGAACTTGTTTTTGAGACACCCTGTATATGTAACTACAGTGGAGCAGTTATAAAGATTAGCGACCACCCAGGACATTGTGTCAGGCCAATTAACGGTCCTAAACGGGTTCTTGAGATTTAATCGCACAAGTACGAATCCTGAAAATAGGATTAGAAGAGTTATTTATCACCTAACAAGCAGTGCATTATGTAAGTCAGTTATAACTTGAATTCCGGAAGGAATCGAAGAACTCCAGTCAAACGGACAGAAAAGATATCCCAGTAATAAATGAATGATGTCAGATAATAAATCAGCGCGGAATGGAGGATGATATTAGATATCCCAAGCACATATTTATATTATTTTTCTCAAAGTTTACGGTCGTACGGTGCTCTTTGAACCGTTTCTGGGCTCGACGGTCGCTGCCGAGAAACGCACCCATATACCGTTGTGCGCATATACGATTTCACTTTCACTCGAACGTTTCTTGTTCTTTTTAACGGTTCTTCAAGTCGCCATGGTGAACATTTTTTCAATGATACAATTATTCGTGTTTACGCGGCGTGAAGGCGACGTGAAGAGTTTTGACGCAATTTTTTAATGCCGTCAGTCGTTGGGTATCGCTTTTGTTACTTGTACCAACCATGAATCGCGATTCTTTGGCAAATTCTTAGGAAAAAGGCTAGGGAAAATGTTCCCGATTTCACCATGGTTCTGAATAGCTTAGTCCGTGAGATAGAGATCTCCCACTGTTGTAGGTGGAGTCTTTAGATAATAACATTAATAATAA